CAGGAACCCCTGAGAAGTCCACAGATTCTTTGAAATAAGGAGGAGAAAACAGAAAAAGAGAAAATGAACCTTAGGGTTATGTCCAGACTTTTTTGGTACTGCATCTTAACTTGAAGAAATTGACAACTACGTGCTTGTCACCAATGCTTGGAATAACACAGCTGTGCAAGGGAAGTGAAAGGGTGCCTTGCAAAATCCAAATATTCAACCAGTCATTCCAAAACCTATCAGACAAAATGGGCACATTATTCAAAATGAAGAATGCTTTCTGGAGATATCAAGTAACCAACTGGCGCTGAAGAATAAACTCATTCCTGGCACCTAGCACCAGGCACCTTCTGAAAGGCAGTATTCATCACCACAGACCAAAGGCACCACCTCCTCCTCTGTGCTGCCAGACGCCTGGGTCTGGGGGTGTCAGGATGGAAGCACCCCAGCGTGCCTCTCAGGGGCTTTGTTAGGGACAGGTTTAACTCCTGCAACTCCATCGGAGGAACAGTACAGGCAGGAAGTTCTTGCCCACCCCCTACAGATAAGGAGTCTGGCTGCAGGACCCCAGCTCAGCTGGAGGAAAGGGTTAATGCCACCCTTCCCCTCTCAGCATGCAGGGAAAGGTGTCACCATCCCCTTGTGCCTTTCCTGTAAATTAGTACCACCCCCTACACCTCCCATGTAAATCAGGGAACACCCCACACCATACGAGGATAAAGGAACAGTAATATGCTGATTTTTTAGTACATCCATCACCACCATTAAAGAACCAGAGACCTGCGAGTCATTGCTGGAGCCAAGAAGCGGTGATCCTAAACTTTCTCCCTCCTTTCCCTCTACCTCTCCCTTCTTTTCTCCCTTTCTCCCTTTTTTCCTCCTCACAGCTCCTATCCCCCCAATGGCTGGACTAATGGTGGAACCCACCTCTTGTTAGGTGTTTAGTCCAGTTACACACTAAATTCCTTTTATGTTCACCCACGGATCGGTGCTGTGCACACCCGATTCCAACCGAGGGAACCGGCGAAGCCCACATTTGGGTGGGATGTGACAACACCAACGGGAGCTTACCTTGCTCTTGGTACTGATCTCGCTGCTTTGTGAGCTGCTGCTGCTGTGCCGTTTTTTTCCTTTTCTAAACATTTTTTCATAATTAGATCAAGGGAGATCTTCTAGGTAGGAAAAATACAAATTAAAGGTGTCACATCATCAAGGGAAGGAGTCCCTGGCAAACACCAGAGCGACCGTGCCCAAAGTGGACGAAAGCTGGAAACTTATGGAGGACTCTAGAATGGCAGCAGGAGTGCTAAAGAACCCACCAACCCCC